GGTTCGTCTTGCCACTACTCCAGGAGCATCGGATAATGACCGACAAAGCCCGGCTCCCCTCTGCGACCAATCTGGCTGGCCACTAGATTGATCCAGACTCCAAACAGGTAACTATAAAAACATCAACTGGCAGGACTGTGTGCATGATGTGTATGTGTGTGTGGCTGAAAAGCATATGCTAACTCTTGTATTTTCAATAAATATGGCGTATATGCCTTCTCTCTTATAAAAGATCCCGTGTGCTTTGTATAGCATAACAATGCTTCCAGTGCATTGTTAAGTGTTTGCAGGATTGGGACCATAGACAGAACACCATGGGAAAATTAGATGTAGTGATAACCTACATATTTATTTAAAATTTATAATATATGGTTGGAATATTCATAAGCACCCAACATTGGCTGACTTTCCTCCTGTTGAATCAATAGGAGTTAGGCCAATGATGAGTGCTTTAGAAATCTGCATCCTAAATTAATTCTTATTACGTAATTACATTATTACTATCAGATATAGTGGAGGCAACTGTACTGATTCTAAAAGTGAGCTGTAGCTCACGAAAGCTCATGCTCAAATAAATTGGTTAGTTTCTAAGGTGCCACAAGTACTCCTTTTCTTTTTGCGAATACAGACTAACATGGCTGTTACACTAAAAACAAACAACAACCCTTCTGAACCTGTGATAAATGAAGGGTGGGGGAGGAAGTAATTCCCTTTTATGGACCCAGCCAGCCAGTTAGCTATAAAATCCCTCTTAGCAGCTGTTCTGTACTTGCTTTGCCTGTAAAGGGTTAAAAGTCTCACTGCTATGTATAGGTAAAAGGAACTGAGTGGGCACCTGGCCAAAAGACTCAATGGGAAGGCTAGAACTTTTTAAAATTGAAACAATACACCCCCCGCCCCTGAGACTGTAAGCAGCTCCCGTCCCTTCCCCCCAGCACGGTGCCAAAAGGCTGCTGCTGGCCACATTCTGGTGCGAACTGTGGCAGAAATCTGAAGGGGAGGGGGCCATGTGACCCTGTGTTTCCCACCCCCCACCCCGTGTTACCTCAAGAAGACACCGTACCAGATACCAGGAGAGGCAGGTCAGTCCTGGGGGACCAGCCAGGCATGGAGGGTGGAGAACGCCAGGCAGGGAGTGTTGGGTCTGACAAAGTGGGTATTCACACACGAAAGCTTATGCTCCAATATGTCTGTTAGTCTATAAGGTGCCACAGCACTCTGCCTCTTTTACAAATTTAAAAATGTTTTTACCTAGAAACTTGAACAGCTCTCAGCCATGGCAGAGTGGTTCAAATCTCCTGGGCAGTTATGTAATTAAACATATATTTAAACAGAACATTATGTTACCCAAGATTAGAGTGTAGCAATTCCGATCTCTTGAGTAAATCCGCATTCAGAGTAATTTAAAAATGCATATTATGTACATGTTTCTATGGTGTCCTAGAAAGTATAACAAACAGGTCTGGTTCCAGGCTCTGAAACTATGACAGTAAGTAGTCCTGTCCTAAATAAAGTGCAAATGAGACCCCTATAATACAAAACAAAGCTAACCTCAAGGCACCAAGTATTTATAAAGTACTGATATCTCAAATTGCAAATATTTTCCTATTAAAATTTAAAAATATTTGATCAACTGTCCACTGTATATTTGAAAATAATGTAACAGTTACCTACTCATGTTCTGCCAGAACTGTCTGTCAAACGATTTCCAGATGAAGTTTATGGTGTTGGTCTTAAAAGAAGCTTGAATGATTTAGCTGGCACCTTGAAGACTGCCTCCCTGCCTCCCGAGTTAGGTGCAGTCATCTCAACTAAAGCATTCAGACTAACAATCCCCTCCTTTAAGAGAGATGGTGGCACAGCACTCGCATGTGGGTGCCCTTGACTCAGCAAGTCATATACACCACCCCACTGACCTGCCAGAGCTAAGATTTGATTAACTTTAAGATATATAACAAAGCCTTATCTTCTCCTCCACCCCAAGATTTTCCTACAGAAGAAGGGAATGAGGCACATGCTGCCTAGCACTGTGTCAATTTGTTTTATACCTACTGTGATATTTCATTCCATATTCTTTATGAAAATATGCGTATGATATGAATATGACCTAACTGAGATATACTTTATGCAAGATGGCTCATGTGAGGTATCATTGGCAAGGTTATGATTTACGACCTAACTGAGATATACTTTATGCAAGATGGCTCATGTGAGGTATCATTGGCAAGGTTATGATTTACTGAATGTGATTATCCAATTTGTATGCCTGTATCCTGATGAAGTGAGCTGTAGCTCACGAAAGCTCATGCTCAAATAAATTGGTTAGGTGCCACAAGTACTCCTTTTCTTTTTGTATCCTTTCTGTATCTGAAGTTAGGAATATTAACTATGTATCTGTATTTCAAATGTGTTACTTTGCGTGTCACATCCCCTCCCCACCCAACCCCTATGCTTCAGGTACAACAATGAAAAACCCAGACAAGGCTAATGGGCCATTAGCAGAGACAATGGACTGTGAAAGAGTTTAGTCTGCCTGTGGACACTGGAGACAGCCTATGAGCAATGGCTGCCACAGCCCTGCAGAGACATGGGTCTTGTCACCTGGTACTAAACATTACCTGGGACTTCTTGTAACTTTCCACTGGAAGGGAAGGGAGGTCAAGTTTGGGAAAGGAGGATTCCCACCTTATGTAAATGCAAAGGGGCCTCCTCCTTCTTGCCATGGCTTTCTACCCAAAAAGAAAGACTGCAAAAGCCACCTGAAGAGAAGGCAAGGGGGGAGTCCGACTGAGAAGGGGTCCAGTCTGAAAAGGAATACAACTGGAACTCTGAACCACAGAAACTTTGCAACCTGCCTACAATAACATTTAGGGTGAGAATTTACATTTTGTAACCTGTTTCTTAAGTATATTGAACTTAGTTTGCGTATTCAGTTTTATTTGGTCAGTAATCTCTACTGACTTCGTATTGTCTGTTATCTCTTATATTCACTTAAAATCCACCTTTGGTAGTTAATAAACTTATTTCTTGTTTATAATATAACTCAATTTATATAATTTCTAACTGGTAGCTGGGGTGGGGGAGTAGTGTGCACACCTCTCTTCACACTGAGGAAGAGGGCGGATTTTTATGAGCTTGCACTGTGCAGATTTTTCTATACAGCGCAAGGCAGTATTATTTTGGGTTTAGCTCCCAAAAAGGGCCGTGCATGTGAGTCCTGGGGGAGTCCCCTCGCACAGAGCTGACTTCAGTCTGTGTCTGCAGCGGGGTGTGACCCTACATGTGTGTGTGTACTGCAAGAGGCTGAAGAGCCTGATTCAGCAAAGCAGGGAGAGGGAGCCCAGGCTGATTGAACAGGGGAGGCTCAGTTAAACCCCAGTACATCAGGTGGCATCCCAGAACGGGGGGGTCCAACCCACCACACATACCATGTAACTCTTGGGAGAATTCTGCACAATGGTGTGCACACAGAATTCACATCCCCTTCAGATTTCTTTGCTTCCCCACAGAAAAATGATTTTGTGATGGGGAAGCAAAGGGAAGCTGCATGTGTGGTCATGTACCCCTCCCCAGCAGTGCTAGCATATTGTTTCAGGTGCCTGGAGCAGCTGGCAGAGAAGTAAATCACTGCGAGGAGGGGGTGTGTGCAGTGGCTGGGGACACCCAGGTCAGTGGCTCCTATCGTGCTAGTCTCAGGACAGGACTTCCTCTTCCCCTGCAAGGAGTGGCCGGGGCTGGGTCAGAACCACGCACAGAAATCCCCCAGCACTGCACCGCCCCCAACTGCTTCCTGCCTGAATTGAACACCCCTCGCCCCCCTGTCAAGCCTCACCCGCTGCATCCGGAGCCCTACTGCACCCATATACCCCTGCTGAGCCCTATCCCACTACCCCCAAACCCACCCACTGGGCTCTGCATCTGGACCCCACCCCTGCATCCACATCACCCCCTGCTGACTACCCTGCACACATACCCCCATCGCCAAGTCTCACCCCCTGCATCAGGATCCTTACCCCTGCACCCAGACCACCCCCCACTGAAACTCCCACCCTGACAAGCCTCATCCCACCCTGCACCTGGACCCCTACTAAGCCCCACTCCCCAGCACCCAGATGCCCCAGCTGAGCCCAACCACCTTCACCTGGACCCCTCTGCAGTCCCATTGCCCCTGCATGCAAAACCCCCAATGACAGATTGCTGAATTGGAATTTATTTGCAAACTGGAGACAATTAACTTAGGCTTGAATAGATACTGGGAGTGGATGGATCATTACACAAAGTAAAACTGTTTCCCCATGTTTATTCCACTCCCCACTGTTCCTCAGATGTTCTTGTCAACTGCTGGAAATGGCCCACCTTGATTATCACTACAAAAGGTCCCCCTCCCCCCCGGTAATATCTCACCTTAAGTGATCACTCTCCTTACAGTGTGTATGATAACACCCATTTTTTCATGTTCTGTGTGTATATAAATCTCCCCACTGTATTTTCCACTGCATGCATCCGATGAAGTGAGCTGTAGCTCACGAAAGCTTATGCTCAGATAAATTTGTTAGTCTCTAAGGTGCCACAAGTCCTCCTTTTCTTTTTTGCGAATACAGACTAACACGGCTGCTACTCTGAAACCAATGAGACCCTGTACATCCAGATCCCTCCTGCACCTGAACCCCCCACTGAGCCACCCACACCCAGATTTCCCCAAACAGAATCCTCTCAACCCCCACCTGGATCCCCCTACACTAAGCCCCTTCACGCTTGGATCCTGCCAGGCTGAGCCTGCTTGCTCACACCTGGTGCCGAGGGGCAGTGCTCCAGGGGGTTTCTGGGGTAGGCCCAGCCATTGCGCTGTGTCAGGGGCAGCCTCACCCCTGAGTCATTGTCCTGGGGAGGGGGCTACACGTTGATCTCCCAGCTTCATGCAGCCAGTGGCCTATACTCCCCACTGCCATGCTGGAGCTCCCACATTTATTTATTGACAAATACAATTTGCATTTTGAAAATATCATGCACAGAATTTTTATTTTTTTTGGCACCAAATTCCTTCAGGAGTAATACAAGATAGACACTATCCATCTAAACATAGAGGAAAACTCCATAAGAAAAACTGTTTAAAGTTCTTGCACAAAACTACCAAATTTTATCTATTTCAAAAACTATCAAATGCTTGAAAAGACATTGTTTATCATTAAAAACATCTGGCCATTCTTGGGGCTGGCCTTCCAGTTAGCAGTGTATGTATTAATTATCCATCAGAGGAGGTAGGCAAAAACTGGTAGTTATCTTTATCCTTACACTCATTTCCTGATTTAAGTTCTAGTTTACTAATCAGGCTGGCTAAAATTACTTTGATTTCCCCCATTTTAAGAGTTAAATTATCATTTTTGAGGCTATTTAGCTTTTAAAGGGCTCCAAAAGAAAAAATTGCCCCCATATAAAGCAGCTACTTTTAAACTGCTTTAACATTAGCTGAAAATAACTATCTAAAGGTATATAGCTAATTTAACTGAATATTGCATACACCAAGCAATTTTTGGGCTAGTACTTTTTAAAATTTCATGAATCTCCTTGCCTGTTTTATCGTGTATTTAGACACATTTCTTTTTATGCTCAGATCGACTTGGTGAAAGACAAAATGTGATAAAACTGATCTCTGCAACGTTAATCTTCCATAAAAGGAATATGAAGAGTTGTCACAGTATTTCCCCATGATGCCTCTCTATATTTTGGGTACAAAGGTGCGCTGGTTGTAAGGTACAACTATTCACAGGAAAGATGTCTTTGTTAGGGAACCAATGCAGTTTGGAGGGGATTTTATGTTTGTTTTTAAAGTACATGCCCTTGAAAGAGCTCTGAGAAACTGTTAAGTTTTCTTATTAAATACAGAGTTGAGTATTAAGAAGCCTTTTTCAGAAATTAGTTCTTGGGTAACCCTAAGTTTTGCTTACAGTATGTTTTGTGAGTGCCTCACTTTGTTGAACTACTGGTATAAATCTTGTTTTGTTACCAAGAAGGACCATGGCTTAGATAAAAGGGTACATAAAGTGGCAAATTGCCTGGTTTGGTCCCCCTGGAGCCATACTACATGAAGAACAGAAGTAAAGGAATCCCACTCTCATGAATAGATATAAGTGATTGGGCAACAAAATGGCAAATGTAATTTAATGTGGATAAACGTAAAGTAATGCACATTGTATGTATAATTGGGATTATTTTTTCCAATATGATGGGGGCTAGTTTAGCTACAACTAATCAGGAGAAAGATCTTGGAGTCATCATGGATAGCTCTCTGAAGACGTCCACACAGTGTGCAGCGGCAGTAAAAAAAGCAAACAGGATGTTAGGAATAATTAAAAAAGGGATAGAGAATAAGACGGAGAATATCTTATTGCCCTTATAGAAATCCATGGTACATCCACATCTTGAATACTGCATACAGATGTGGTCCCCTCATCTCAAAAAAGATATACTGGCATTAGAAAAGGTTCAGAAAAGGGCAACTAAAATGATTCGGGGTTTGGAACGGGTCCCATATGAGGAGAGATTAAAGAGGCTAGGACTTTTCAGCTTGGAAAAGAGGAGACTAAGGGGGGCTATGATAGAGGTATTTAAAATCATGAGTGATGTGGAGAAAGTGAATAAGGAAAAGTTATTTACTTGTTCCCATAACATAAGAACTAGGGGCCACCAAATGAAATTAATGGGTAGCAGGTTTAAAACAAATACAAGGAAGTTCTTCTTCACTCAGCACACAGTCAACCTGTGGAACTCCTTGCCTGAGGAGGGTATGAAGGCTAGGACTATAACAGGGTTTAAAAGAGAACTGGATAAATTCATGGAAGTCCATTAATGGCTATTAGCCAGGATGGGTAAGGAATGGTGTCCCTAACCTCTGTTTGTCAGAAGGTGGAGATGGATGGCAGGAGAGATCACTAGATCATTACCTGTTAGGTTCACTCCCTCTGGGGCACCTGGCATTGGTCACTGTCAGTAGACAGGATACTGGGCTGGATGGACCTTTGGTCTGACCCAGTATGGCCGTTCTTATAAGAAAACTGAGTGGCAATATTAGGCTTGATAAACTGGTCAAAAAAATGCCAGTTGACCACCTATTATTTGATCACACTCAAATACAGTAACTCCTAGCTTAACGCTGTAGTTACATTCTTGAAAAATGCAACTTTAAGCAAAACAATGTTAAGTGAATCCAATTTCCCCATAAGAATGAATGTAAATGGGGAGAGGGGGGATTTAGGCTCCAGGGAATTTTTTTTGCCAGACAAAAGACATTGTATACATATACAGTATAAGTTTTAAACCATTTTAAACAATGTAATATAGGTATAAGTTTTAAACAGTTTAATCCTGTAATCAGCAATGATGTTTGTGAAGCTTGGTTGAGGTGGTGGAGTCAGAAGGTGAAAGAGGGTGGATTGTTTGGCTGCTCCTCTTGCTGTTCTTTCTAAAGTGCTGGAGGCTGCTCAACCCACAGCTCTGCCCCTGGCCTGCCCCCACTCCACCCCTTCGCCAAAGGACCCATCCCACCCCTGCTCAACTCCCTCCCCCTGAGCACACTGCGTCCTCGCTCCTCCCCACCCTCTTGAATGCTGCGAAACAGCTAATTGCTGGGTACAGGAGGCACAGGGAGGCTGCGCACCGCATCCTCATTCCTCCTCCTAAGCCTCCTGAACACTGCAACACAGCTGATTGCTGTGGGTGGGAGGCGCAGTGAGGGAGTGGGGATTCGCTGATCTGCGGGGGCCCACTGTCAGGCTGCGTGGTGATGGTGATGGTGATGGTGGTGGAAGGGAGCTGATAGGGGGGCTGCCGGCCAACCCTGATTCCAAGCTCCCACCCACTAGCTCCGAGGGGCTGCTCTTCCAAAGAATCCTGCAGGTAGTAGACAAAGTACTGTACTAGCAGGTGGCAGACAAACAATGTTATAAGTGAACATTGCACAACTTTAAATGAGTATGTTCTCTAATAGATCAGTGATGTAACAACAAAACAAAGTTAACTGGGACAACGTTAAGTGAGGAGTTACTGTACTGTCACATGTTCCAGCAAGAAAAAAAGTGATGTAGGTGGTTGCCTACATTTTTGATTGCATTATGGTGCCATTCTTTCATTTTTTAGAACTTGGTTTCATTGTGTCTTGCATTGTTCTAAGATGAAATAACTCAGTTAAGTAATTTTTTTTGTAATTAGGAGTAAGTATCTGAGCTAAGCCTATTAGAAACAAAGTCTTCCTCTCTTTTGTTACTGTTGTTCCCATTCTAATAAAATAGTGCTTTAAAATATATGACAAGCCAACTGACCAATTATTTTTGGACCTGTGAAATGCTTAACTCTAGGCAGCATATATCATAAAGAACATCCTCCAATACTTACATGTTACAGACAGATTTGGCACTGGGAGGAGACATCCTTGATTTCAAAAAACAAAAAAAACTGACATTTTTTCTTTTTCTCCATTTACAGTTTAGTCTTCCAGTTGAACTACATTATGACTTACTTATGCAATTATACAAACTTGTGAATTAAGTAGTACAAATGGAACATATGGAAATGCTAAGAGTTTAAAAAACAAGTTTACCATAGAAAACCAGTCATAATTTAAATGAATGTGCATGGCAATTTGAAAATTATACACCCATATATACATTTTAGAGTACAGAAAGGAATAAGAATGCAGGAATAAGACAAAAAAACAAAAAATTGTAAAGTTTGTGATACATAATGAATGTTTAATAAGTTAAGAAAAAATGTGATTTTGAATTGTGGTCAAGTGTGTAAAGTATATTTGTTTGGGTAGTAAGGGGGAAGTCCAGCATAACCTCAAAGGAATCTAGAGGCTGTTGTCGGCACACTATGATACAAATGACAACCGATATCTCTTCAGCTGCATGTCTGGGTGAAAAACATGACATTTAATTACCCTTACTCCTCATACGCAAGACTTCAGCTATACACTAGTACTGGTCAGATGAACTATATTTCTCTTAAAAGTTGTTTTTCGAAAAGAACAATCACTTTCAGACAGACATATTTTAACTTTAATTTAGCTCTTCAGTAATGAAGTCTACAATGTATGAATGAATTTACACCAACCATCATATTAAAAAGGGAATTCTGTGAGGGATGAAGAGATGCTGTCACAGTTCTTGGGGACTGGACAGGTACCAACTGCACTCTAACTGGAACTCACGATTGAGCAACATAAGCCACTCTCTTCCCCAGAGGCTAACTGTACATTCAGTGTATGTTGGCCCTGCCAACCTGGGAAACAAGAGACCTATCTTAGGTTTCCTGAATGATACTGCAGAACACTACTCAAGCGGCCTACCAATTTCAATCATTTTATAGTATTTCATTCTGACAATGTTTTATGATTTTAGATAAATAAAACTACAAACCTAAAAACTGAAAGGAAATCTCAATTTCAAAACAAATTGACTCAGCTAAAGATTGCTACAGCTTACTTTGGATTTTGCATAGTTTATTTAAAATGCATTAGGGCGTTTCATATCACTCCAAACTGCCAGCTTAATGTTCGTTTTCTTTTTAGTATTTTAGGTGCATGCCAGCCTCAATTGATCAGAGTTCTTGAAAGCAGGTATTTTCCATGAGAATACTTCATGACTGGGAGGATGCAGCAGACATACTCTTCTTATTTTAGTCTTTGTGTTTTGCTTAAAGCACTAATACACCCACAATTCCCCATGCTTGGCTCTCTTCAGAAAGGCTTCAGTATCCCTTCCTTCCTCTGAATCTTGCTCTGCCATCCAACTAAAGATTGAAGAATAATTAAGTCAACATATTGCAAAATGTAAAATACTAGTATTAGAACTGCTTTGAAACACCTGTGTTTCTATTTCTGGCACTTTACAAACAAGGATACCGTAAGGAAAAAGTCACTGAAGAGAATAAATGGTTTCTCCATAAAAAGACTCAAGACTGGTGTGACAGTACATGGTAGCACTATCTTCAGAAATCTTATTCATAATTAATACCAGGTGACTGATTAGCACTATCATGTAGACTTCAGATTTGCTGAAGGATCTTAGACAGAATAATAGTAAGTGGTACAATAGAGTCGCGAGAGTGAGGAAGCTGTGTACGTGGGGTACTGTAGAGAATACTTATTAGTCTTATCTTACTGATCATCACTCATGATCTGGAGAATGTGCTACACAGCAAATTCAGAGTAAGCTAAAATGGAAGGTGTTGCAAACACCTGTGAGGCTGGGGTAATATAAAAAGGAACCTACAGTGTCTATAAATATGGGTGAAAAATAAAGTGAGATTCAATTTAGGAAAAATGCAAGTTAATATCTAAGGGAAGTAATACATGGATATATAATTGGAGGAAAAAGCCTAAAGATTTACTGTACACCAGCATTTCCTAAAGCTGAGAGTGGAGAGCTGCTGTACAGTAGATCGTTTTTAGCACTGCAGAGAGATATGGCAGCAAGAAGGGCCATGTTATTTTGGCCTGGCATAGTTCCTCTGAGCTTAAGTTTTCCATTTTCAAGGTTGCGATGACTGAGTATTCTTGAATCCAACAATAATTCAGCTAGTATGTTCTACACACTTAAATTTGAGGAACAGATTACTACTATGCAAAATCATTAACTAGAATTCATTGCTATAGGACAAGAAGAAGTTAGGTAAACATAAGATTGACCATATTACAACAGTCACCATGCCATGTGGAGAGAGAGAACGTGTACACTCCCTGCCCATTTGTGTATCTAATTGCTAGCACAGAAGCATACTTTATTCTTTACCCAGCTGCTGATCTTCTCATGTCCTGAAATATGACAACTGAAAACCCTAATCATTTTAATCTAGTGTAAATGTTAAAAGTATTTGTATTTGCATGCAGTGCCAAATCCTTTAAAAAATGTACTAAGTTATTTGCCTCACTAGTACCCTGAGATAGTAAAATTCCAGAACACAAAATCTTTTAAAATTCCATTTTAAGTTTGTTGCCTTTTAATCTAATTGGTCTACAAATTTGTTTTTCCCCCCTATATTACGGGACAGGTTAAGCAGAAGCACACAAACAGCCTTTTCTATTATATTCCTATTTAAATATAATTATCATAATCGCTCACTCGTTTCCTTTCCAGAATAAATAATCTAATCCAGAGGTTCTCAAACAGGGGGATGAGGCTCTCTGGGACAGAGGGTGGGGAATGCATTCTGGGGGCATGAGGTGCTTGAGGTGGGGGAAAAAAACCTTACTGTTCACATTTTACCCACAGCAATAAATAACTAGCAAAGCTGATTCCTTCAGACATATCAGGTCCTCAGATGGTGCTGTGCATTTTGAGTTTTCTGTTAAGCTTGCAGAGCATTTAACAAAGACGTTGCCATTTATACATTAATCTGTTCGCTACAATGTAGTCTGCACATTTAATTGTAAGCATTGGCCACAATCACAGGTTTGCTTTTGCTGTTACAATGGGTCGTTGGCTCTATTTGAATCAATGCCTTACTGTTTTTAATATTTAGTCAGAGGTGCATGTTGATTTTTTTCTAATCCGTGTATGTACCTGTGTGGCGGGCGGGGAGGCATAAACCACTACAGACACAAAGAAGAGGGGCGCAATCAATTAAGTTTGAGAACCACCTACCTAGTCTTTTTGATCTGTCCTTGTTACATACTGAACTATAATGAGAAATATTTGAAGATTGGTACAGTGTTGTTGTAGACATGCTGGAGAGTAAATAAGACATTTGAAGACACTTTTCTAGCATATTTCTAGCTTAATTCCATTTTCCTTTCTAGCTGAATTAAGACAGTTTCCCCTGGAGAAGGGTTGAAGGCTGGGAGGCTAGAGCAGCAGAGTGGGATGAAAGATCTTAGGTATGTTCCATTTCTGCATCCCTCCTTAATCTAAAATTAAAATCAGGGTTTATTCATTATAGAGCAAAGTAACACGTTAGGTAAGACCAAAAACAGGCTGTGTGCCCATCATGTGTGGAATGGTTTGATATCAACTTTGCTGTCTCTACCCTATTTAAAAAAAAAGCTTTATGACCGCATAGGTCAACATTTCCATACAAGAAACTCATAGCCAGTCTGGGGAAACTCCTCCTTTTCTATCAAGGTAGGTATTTATAATAGTATGCTGTGGTACTTGAGCGCTCACTCCCAAAAGGAGAGTTTGTCACTCAATCATAAAACTGACTTATATCTCCTTAAATTAACAGTCATCCAATTACCTAAGTACATTACAGTAAAAATACAAAACTTCAAGTGGAAAGCAGAAGTCCATTACCACAGTAAAATGATCCTTCAATGAGTCTCCTCTAAACTTAAATCAATGTCCCCCAGTTCTGTTTCTTCCCATGATCTCAAATAGATAAGATTAAAGTATGGCTAAATATCAATCCTAAATATTAAAAAGCTATTTTACCTACTGATCTTTCATATTTAAAATAACCCCAATTTTGTTTATCATTTCCTATTTTTATTGCAGCTGTCACACTCTGAGCCTTCTCCAATTTAAATATGAATATCTTGTTGGATTATACCCACAACCTAATTCATTGTTTTGCTTGAGTGCAAAAGATGTGCTATACTAATGTTCACAAGAGCTAACATTTATTAAGGACCAATTACAATTATAACAAGTAAGGAGCTATTCTACTTAGTGATGTCAATTTGATTCATTTCAATGGTGTCTTCTTCCTCATCAGAATCTTTTAGAAAAGGAAAAAAACAAAACAAAAAAAACACTGGCAACAAAGACTAACAAACAATCAAACCAATCACTTACCATTGACCTTTTGCACTCAAAAAAAGAAACCTGCAAACTTCTGCAGTGTCCTTCCTTCAAGCATTGTCTGGGGCTTTTTCCTTCCTGTCACATGAAACATAAAAGCATAAGAATCCAGTGTATTTCTTCAGTGGAAAGGACACTACAGACAAGGCACCTCTAAAAAGTCCTGTGGACACTGTTGAAACTTTGTCCAAGGTCCTTTAACTTGTGTTCTTTGCTGTGGTAAATTCCAGGTAAGTGGAACTGAGAGTTGTGAAAGTCCAGATAATAATTCTTTCCCTTCTCCTCCCACTCCCAAGACATGTGCTTGTATCAGTAAAATGAAGACCAGGGTGGATAAAAATCAATGTTTAAAAAAAAAACCAAAAAAAAAAAAAAAAACCAACCTGATTTTTTTTATTTCAACTGGATTTTTTTGGATAAAATGCTTTTTGAGGAAAAAACCTATCTAAAGATAATTTTAATTAAGATACATGATAGCTCAAAGCTATCTCATCATGGAATAGGGATTATAAATTCTAATTCTATAGTATGAGACAATATATTCATATAATGTTTAAGAAAAGTTTTGTAAATGAGTTCCAATAGTTCTTGGATTAGGGACCCAATCTGATGGGATTCCAGGGGCTTCTGTACAGATTACTTAGGTTAATCTTTCTATATACCCAATGGGACTCAGTGCTCAATCTAGAACAGTGGTAGCCAACCTGAGCCTGAGAAGGAGCCAGAATTTACCAATGTACATTGCCAAAGAGCCATAGTAATATGTCAACAGCCCCCGCCCACTTCTAGCACCTCTCACCCATCAGCAGCCCTGCCGATCAGCACCTCCCCCTCCCTCCCTCCACCTCCCGATCAGCTGTTTCGTGGTGTGCAGGAGGCTCTGGGGGAAAGGGGATCGGGAGGGCATGGCAGGCTCAGGGGAGGGCGCGGGAAGGGGTGGAGTGGGGCCAGGCCTGTGGCAGAACCAGGGGTTGAAGAGTGAGCATCCCTCAGCACATTGGAAAGTTGGCACCAAGTTGCCAACCAAAGAAAGTTGGTTAGTTTTGCAGTTCTCAAACTGTGGATTTGTGTCCCCAGAGATAACATGCCTGTTAACAGCAAAAATGTTTTTAAATAAGTATATAGAGGTGAGAAATAACTGACCTCAACCCTATTGTCCTTCTGCAAACTTGTGTACACACAGTCAATCCCTTACCTCTCTCTAAAAGTACAAAGTTTCAAAAAGTTCAATGAATAGAAGATTCTTGGGGATGGAATAGATCTGGACAAGGAGAAGAAGTCTGGAGATAAATGTGAGAAGGGAGGAACAGGCAGTAGAAACAAAAGTGAAACTGTTTGAGCAGCATATTCCGGAAGTCTTGAGGTCTTTCCGAGTGTAGCCTTCATTGATTTGAGATCTAACATACCATTCTCTCACCAAAAGGGAAAACCTATAATGGCAGCGGGCCATAAAAGAGACCCAGTTTGGGGATATTTTAATTAAGTTCCTCTACTTGTGGGTAAAACAGGCATGCGTGAAAAATGCAAACTGTGGAACAAAGAAATGCAAGGCCTGGTTGCCCAAATGAAACAACATCATGAAAAGTGTTCCTTCTCAGGAGGAAGCTGCGTTGAACATGATGAAAGAAACATCTTTCCTGTGATGAACTTTTTGAAACTTTGTACTTTTAGAGAGAGGAAAGGGATTGACTCTGTGTACACAAACATCCTGAACATGCAGGATCTTCAGGTTGGTAAACTTTTTTAATTCATACTTCTTTCTTACGGACTGATTGTCTTCTCTCTGGACTATTCCTGAATTCTCATATTTGAGCAAAAAATATAGTGGTTACTTTATGGTACTATCATTTTAGATGCAGTTGCGATAAAAAAAAAATAGCTGAAATAAACAGATCTTACTTGTACAATTTCACATTTAAAGTAGTACTGAGCGTCAGTGAATGCTAAATGAGCAGTATGGTAATAATAATTAAATAACTGCACTGACTTATTTTGTTTAGGAGAATCCATCCTCAACATACAAGATTCTGAAGACTATCCACCTTCAAGATCACCATCATTTTCTATAGTTTCAGAGTTATCTGACAATGATAGTGTTTTAGTCACATCAAGTACGTCACACAGCCATAGTATATAACCTGTAGCAAAAAGAAAAAAAAACTCCATCATCCACAAACCACCATAGACAAGTTTGTGATAAGAACCAGCAGATTACAAAAAGAGCTAATTGATGAAAAAATTGCCTGATTTGTTTATGCAACAAACTTTCCTTTTCGTATGATTGAGAACCCACACTTCATTAACATGGTTCAGTCATTAAATAGAGTCACAGTACCAGCAGATGTCACAGGCAAATTGCTGGATAAAGCGTATGAAAGAGAAATTGAGCAGCGCGCAAAAGGTCTAGAGGATGAAATCGTTAACCTGAGTCTTGATGGGTGGAGCAATGTCCACAATGATCCTGTTGTATGTGCTTGTGTGACAACAGAAGAAGGAAATGTCTTCCTTACAGAAACAACTGATACATCAGGAAATGCACACACAGCAGAATACTTACAAGAAGTAGCAGTAAAAGCTATAACAAACTATGAAAAAAAATTCAAATGTCTAGTACGCAGCTTGGTCACAGACAATGCTGCAAATGTATCCAAGATGAGAAGAAATTTAGGAGAGAGTGAAGAGAGTCCCAAGCTAACAACATACGGTTGCAGTACTCATTTGATGCACCTCCTAGCCAAAGACTTCAATGTTCCAGAAATAAAGGCTAATGTTGCTGAAATTGCAAAATACTTCCATAACAACCACTTTGCAGCAGCTACTCTGAAAAAAGTGGGAGGAACGAAGCTAACTCTCCCTCAAGACGTGCAATGGAACTCAGTAGTGGACTGTTTTGAGCACTGTATCAAGAACTGGCCTAATCTGATGACAGTTTGTGAACAAAATCATGAAAAAAGAGATGGCACTCTCACAGCCAAAGTTCTCAACATTGGGCTTAAGAGAAATGTTGAACACATGCGGAGCACCCTGAAGCCTATTTCTGTAGTCTTAAACAAAATGCAAGGAAATAGCTGTTTTATTGCTGATGTTGTTGAAAGTTGGAAGGAACTGAGTGAGATCTTAAAAAGAGAAATATACAGAGTTAAATTACAAGCATTAAAAAAACGAATGGGACAAGCACTATCTCCAGCTCATTTTCTTGCAAATAGTCTCAATACTTGGTACCAGGGTCAAATCTTAACTGATGAAGAAGAGGAGTTGGCTATAACATGGACATCCAGCAATCATCCCTCCATAATGCCAACTATAATAAACTTCAGAGCTAAGGGTGAACCATTCAAGAAATGTATGTTTGCTGATTATGTTTTAAAGAAAGTCTCACAAGTGAACTGGTAGAAGTCACTTAAGAACTTGGATTCAGAGACTGTTGAAGTGATAATCTCTCTTTTAACAGCAGTAGCTCCTTCTGCCGTTGTAGAAAGAGTATTTTCTTCCTTTGGACTAATTCATTCCAAATTGAGAAATCATTTGGAACCTGAAAAAGCAGGAAAGCTTGTTTTTCTTTTCCAGATTATGAACAAACAGGAAAATGAAGGTGAAGACCACTGAATTAGCTGCAGCAGCGAATATTTTGAGTTTCTCATGTTGACATGGATGACATAGTCTATTTAATTTTTGTTTAAAAAAAATCATGTAACTATTTTAGTGAAAAACAATTTTAATAAAAAGAAACCTGATTTTAAAAAACTTGAATGTTTAATTACATTCAAAAATTCATATGCTTGCTTTGTTAAAATATTATATGTTTGCAGTTGAACAAAAAAATCCAGAATACATAATGTTGTTGTTTTAGTTCAATAAAACAATTTAAATGTGTGTCTGGTGATGTTCTCCTCCTAATGCAGCCTGGCAAGAAAATCCTCCAAATATTAATGATTAACCTGTTGAATTGGAGATCTTTATGAAGTCATTGGGAGGTGAACTATCTGCTTCAACTACCTTTGGTAAATGAAATAACCAATCGTTCATTTTCTGATATAGCTGTAAAACTAATCTGAAAAGTTTTCAAAATAAATCAGTTTAAAAATGTATAATGTGTATCTTCTAAAAATGAAACCTACATCTAACTCTGAGTTGTGAAGAATATGTACTAAGGTTATAACAACCAACAAGAATGCATTTTTATGTAGAAATCCATAATTAAATTGAGTCTTCCTGACTAGCGATTTAAATCATGACTTTAATCAATTTGATTTAAATCAAATCCACCCTGACAGAAGAATAATCTAACTGGATACACATCTTTTGAGGGGTTTTAGATTTATTCAAACTGGACTTAACGTAATGCTAAAAGCAAGCTATCGTCACCAGAAGACCAAAAACAAAACAAAACAGTGGTAATTGTGCTGGTGAAAGGTATCAACAAGACAGTCTTGGAGACAGAAGTTTTCTACTTATCTACACAACATAGACAGCAGCAGGGCAAGCTTCCCTACAACATTCTGCTGATGTGCTTCAACCCTAATTGAAGGGACCACCTTTAGCGGATGAAAGTTTTTTTAAGTCTCTATTTCTATTCAGTCCTGAGGCTCCTATTCAAGTAGCCAAGCAAGGGTGCCAACTCTGATGGGAGCTTTCCATATGAACTTTTTGTTTCAATGAACTAAAATTTTATTAACAGTACAGAACTTCTAACACAACCATTTGACTTTTATAGAAAAAAAATCACACTACCACGCCTGAAGTTCTGTATGATCAAATTTTAACATTTCTGTTTCAATTCACACACATTTTCCCAGCTCATGATCATACACAATAAACTAACCCACCGTGACACTTTCTTGGGGTGCCCAGGACTGTGAGTTACCTTGTTAGCCCGTGTCTCCAGTGAGAGAGAGACTTGCTGGTGCTTAATTGGGTATTACCTCCTTGACACTTCCCGCCTGTTAGCCACCCAAAGAACCGCCACTGGGCAATTCTAGCCTTCACTTTTCTTGTTATGATAACTTAGCAGGCTAACCTTCTGACTAAGGAATTTTATGCCCAAAATGTCTTTTGTAGTGTTTCCAACCAGGACAGGTTGGGATCCTGTTTTCATGAATGAAATCCCACCGAACGATTACTTCCTCAGGTGCAGGATAAAGATAAAGTCCTTTTGCCTTCTCTTTTATCCCCCAAAATTAATTATTGGATACTGAAGTTGGGATGCCTCCCTAGCACCCCAAAAAGTTTATTCCATATTGTGCTGACTTCACATCCCCATGCTGACTTTGTATGCAAAGAGGGCTTCCATTGTATTGGCTAACAATGCTTAATTTACATTGTGAACTGCGGCAGACAAGTGATATAAAATCTTTGTCTGGTAGATACCTCTTTGTCAACTCTGCCTTGATTCAGACTGTAGGAACATATTTCCTTTATACTGTACATATAAAGCTTTTTACATCATATCTGTACAGACATTTCACAAGCGTATTTATGATCAATGTGTTTTCTGGCTTTAATTTAAGATGGTACATGACATCTTTTATGAAAAGCAGTGAGTCTGGCAAGTCTGTCAAGAGTTACTGTTACAGAACAGTGAACCCTTTGCCAGTTCGCACTGAGGGATTCTTAGGGGTCACACACATCTTCTCTTACAATGATTCTGTTTATTTATACTTATCTCTATTGTAAGTGCCTCCAAAGTAAATAAATCATTGTGGAATTCTCATTCCTACATTTCACTTTCTCTTCTATTTGCCCTCAAATGCAAGATACTGGAAGTTTTCTAGGTTTCAGTTTATCATGAAAGAGGGCAAGATTTTCTGGTCTATTTAAAATGAGATGTCCATAAAGATAATATACTGAGCACTGCATGTTTTCAAACAGTAAGTTGGTAAAGAAGTTTAAGTATCAATGCCATCACAGCAATTGAACCTATTTGCATACTTGGCATATATGTAGCAATTCACATGTTCAGACAGTGTTTTACAAACATTAACAGTTCATTTCTCCTTTGGATTTTAGATGGAAATATGGCAATTAAAAAACAAAAGCTCAGGTGTACAACAATCTGCATTTTTAAAATAGAATCATAGAATATCAGGGTTGGAAGGGACCTCAGGAGGTCATCTAGTCCAACCCCCTGCTCAAAGCAGGACCAATCCCCAACTAAATCATCCCAGCCAGGGCTTTGTCAAGCCTGATCTTAAAAACCTCAAAGGAAGGAGATTCCACCACCTCCCTAGGTAACGCATTCCAGTGTTTCACCACCGTCCTAGTGAAAAAGATTTTCCTAATGTCCAACCTAAACCACCCCCACTGCAACTTAAGACCATTACTCCTTGTTCTGTCATCAGCTACCACTGAGAACAATCTAGATCGATCCTCTTTGGAACCCCCTTTCAGGTAGTTGAAAGCAACTATCAAATCCCCCCATATTCTTCTCTTCTGCAGACTAAACAATCCCAGTTCCCTCAGCTTCTCCTCATAAGTCATGTGTTCCAGTCCCTTAATCATTTTTGTTGCCCTCCGCTGGACTCTTTCCAATTTTTCCACATCCTTCTTGTAGCGTGGGGCCCAAAACAGGACACAGTACTCCAGATGAGGCCTCACCAATGTCGAATAGAGGGGAACGATCACGTCCCTCGATCTGCTGGCAATGCCCCTACATATACATCCTGAAATGCCATTGGCCTTCTTGGCAACAAGGGCACACTGTTGACTCATATCCAGCTTCTCGTCCACTGTAACCCCTAGGTCCTTTTCTGCAGAACTGCTGCCAAGCCATTTGGTCCCTAGTCTGTAGCGGTGCATGGGATTCTTCCGTCCTAAGTGCAGGACTCTCTGCACTTGTCCTTGTTGAACCTCATCAGATTTCTTTTGGCCCAATCCTCTAATTTATCTAGGGCCCTCTGTATCCTATCCCTACCCTCCAGCGTATCTATCTCTCCTCCCAGTTTAGTGTCATCTGCAAACTTGCTGAGGGTGCAGAAAACTATCAGGTAAATATTGGCATCTAGTGTTTATAGATTTTCAGCAGCTGCACATAAACCTACTCAGAGGCTCCATTTTCAACAGGAAAAAAGGTTTATTGCTAGCTCATGTTAGACAGTGGGCATGGCCCTTTCAGGTTATTTATCCTATGTAATTGAAAACATAGTCTAAAACTTCACCACTTCAAACTTTCATACCTGGTCGCTTTTTTTTATTTAATTTTCTGCAGTTTCACTCAGTGAAAGTCTCTCTGTACAAGGATTTTTTTACAAAGCCTCCGTAGCCTATTATTCAAGGGATAAAAGGTTATGGTGATCTCACGTTGGTGGTGTTGCCTGAAGTGGCAAATTCTTTGATTTTTATTGACCAGCTGGTTACAGCGTTAGCTCTGGAGGTACTCGGACTGGAAATAATCACAAGGTCTGAAATATCTAAAGACGTTTTAATTCTTCTATTGACATTGACTTTCCATGAATTCTCTTCTTTGATATGCACTAGAGTTTCTAGCTTTGATACTGACAGTTTATATACTAACGATCAATTTAGCAAACAAAACAAAGAGCGCTTTTATTTCCAGTACTACCGAGGTTTAGGGCTTGTCTATATTATCCGCAGGATCGATCCAGCGGGGGGGAGGGGGGTGGTGGTGTCGATTTATCGCATCTAGTCTAGACTAGACACCATAAGTTGACCGCTGAGTGCTCGCCCATTGACTCCGGGACCGAGAGGTGTGGGAAAAGTCGACGGGGGAGCATCAGTTGTCGACTCACCGCGGTGTCAACTTCAGCTATGTTATTCACATACCTGAAGTTGCGTAACTTAGATTGATCTCCCCTGCTCCCAGTGTAGAACAGGCCTTCCCAGTGTAGAACAGGACTAAGACGTAGGCCTGACTAAGAGAAAAGGTATTATATTTTGAAGATTGCTTATTAGCAACTTCAAAATCTCCTGAATGTCAAAATGTCAAAAAAAGTTCCCTTTAAATTACAACCCTAAAGTCACAAATCTTGACAGCTCAGAATGTGATAAATCATGTGATAAAAGTTCTGTCATGCAAGACATCACAAGAGGTGGCAACCAATGACAGAATAAAATATAGACAATATGTTATCCCAGAGAAAATAAAGTAGATTGATCTAATAATAATACAAAGCGCTCTATAGGATTTTCACTTTGGAAGTGCTCAACAAAGTCTAACCATACTCTTATATTATTCCCCACATTTTTCAGATGAGAAAACAGTCAAAAATGTTAATAGCCCAAATGCATACAGTGAAACCCCTGGGATTACAATTCTGAATTCTTCCTTTGCTTGGCTATTTGCCCGAGACAAATAATATTTTATTAGTTTTATCACCATCATGTGCCGCCTGGTAGATTTTAATCAGGCTTTCCAAGGCTCCTTGGAACCAATTTCCAATGTAAGGTGGGGGAACTCAGCCAGTGACCCTTCTGAGGGAGATGGATCACGTTTTTTGCCATTTACGCTGGGGCACGAAGGCCTTCAGCGGTGTCACACGTGTGTAAATAAAGGCAAGGCTTCAATAGGCTGACCAGTGAAGGTGTAACTTGTTGGGACGGTTCTGCTGATGGCAGATGGGGAAGACAGTGTCCAGCTCTTCCCTTGTAGTTGTGCCAACTCCACGGGGCTCCGAGGCGCAGGGACGGTTTCACCCACATCCGGCCAGCCTGGGGCCGACTCGCTGCTCTATGTAGATGGTCCCTTGTCACAGGGGAGCCAGGCCCAGTGCGGCCGGGAGGACCCAACCGCTTTGCAGCGGCAAGGACGCTGCGGGACCGGGCGCGAGTCAGGTGCAGGGGCGCGGCCCAGCCCCCCACCCGGGGGTAACAGGGACGGGGCCGCCCAGCCCCCCACATTGACCGTATGACGCCAGGGGTCTCTCAGCAGGCCCCGCCCTCCCCCCGTACCTGTGTGACGCAGGAGGTCTCGAGCAGACACTGTCTCAGGTCCTCCCGCACCCCGGCACAGGCCCGCCCGTCCTCCTCCTTCTCCTCATAGTATTTGGGCATCGCGGCAGCGCTCCCCGCACACAGCCTCTGGGCTTCTCACTGCAGCAGCGCCGCCGCCCAGAGCGCACCGCAGGACGCCGCCATCTTGTTGTCCTTTGACCCAGTTGCGGCGCACAGGCAGACACCGCCGCTGCGCTTTCCCGCCGGGACAGGAACTACCGTACCCAGCATGCTCCGCGACGCAGGGTCACGGGCCGGGTCAGGGGGCGCGCGCCGTGCTACGTTGCCGGAAGCAGCTGGAATTTGCTGTGGGTGCGCGCGGCCCCGGGAGACCCTCGCGCTGTGTGTGGTTGGGAGGGGCGGGGCTGGAGCGGCAGGTGAGCGGGGCAGCTGCGGACGGCGTTCTCGCCCCTCGGGCGCGTGGGCCTGCGCAACGTGCGCGCGCTGCCTAGGAGGGCGACCCAGGGTCCCGCCTGCGCCACAAACCGTTGGCGCCCCCGCGGGAACTGCTGGCCTTGGCTCGAGACACCCGCGGCTCCGCCCCCAGCTCCTGCATGAGCCGGCCCGGCGGGAGCCACAGCGGGGCTTGGATCTCTGCGGGGCGGGGGGTCCTTCCCTTGTACTGCTGCGCGCGGCCCTTCCCCCGCCCGTCGGGTCCTCAAAGGAGGCGTCGCGCCTTGGAGCCGCCTCTGGGCCGGTGCCCCGGGCAGATGGTTGCCCGGGAGGCCGGAGCGGAGGCCGGCACCGCCCCCACCCCAGTGTCTCCCCCAGGGGGCAGCGCGCGCGCGGGGGGAAGGGACTTGAACCCGGGTCTCCCACCGGCCAGGAGCTGCCCGAAGCACTGGGCGCTGCGGCTGGCGGGGGGGAGGGGTTCTCCCCCGCGCTGCCGAAGCTGTTCCACTTTGCGGGGACGCTTAAATAGGCTCGGCCTGAGCGGGACTGTGCCCCCCAGCGTTAATGGGGACTTGCTGGGTCTCCTTCCTCCTTAGTGGCCTCCTGGGTGGCCGCTGTGGAGGTGGGCCACTAGATGGCTTGGGTTGATGTCTGAGGTGTCTCAGAGCATTTTCTCTCTCTCTCATGTTCAGGGTCTAACTGTCCCCGTATTTGGGGTCAGGCAGAGAGTTCCCCCAGGTCAGATTGGCAGTGACTTCAGCGTTTGGGGATTTTTTGCCTTCCCCTGCAGTGTGTGAGTGTGGGTCACTTGCTAGGATTATCTGGGTATATCTCAATCACTTCCCTTCCATTGCAGGGGCCTCAGGCATTGGTCCACCTCAGACTATGTGTACACTACCGATCTTACAGTGGCATAACTGTACCACTACAGCTCCGCTGCTGTAAGGTCTCCTGTGTAGCCACTCTATGCTGGCGGCAGACAGCTCTCCTCCTGGCATAATTAAGCCACCCCAATGAGCATCTCGCACCGACATAGCGCTGTCCACACTGGCTCTTGTCAGTGAAATGTATGTCAGCTGGGGGTGTGTTTTTTTTCCCCCAGTCCACTTGTCCGACAAAAGTATTACCGACAAAAGTGCTAGTGTAGATATATCCGTAGTCCCTCCTATTCTCTGCCTGTGACGACACATAGTCTAGTCTCCTGTGGGCAGTAATATTTTGGTTGTTGAGTTTAGTGTGGGATTCTGGGTGATGTTGGTGGCCTGTGATATACAGGAGGTCGAACTAGATTATCTGGTGGTCCTTGCAGGCCTTTAAACTATGACTGATATTCAGACACCTGAGTTCAAGACCCTGTTGCAATAACTCTTTATTAATATAAAGTGGAACAGCTTCAACAGGACAGATTGAGAGACCCACCGAAGAATACCCAGCAATCAGAGGGCACTCATCTGAGACATGGGAAACCTGTGTTCTCCCCACCTCAGGCAAAGGGGGAAGTTTGAATCCAGGGTTCCCACAGCCTAGGTAAATGCCCTGCCCATTGGGCTGAAGTTTATAAGGGGAGACTCAATCATCTTGTCTTCGTTTTGTTTTGTTTGTTGCAAGAAAGAGCTTAGGTGGGGAGAAGGTTCATAGCTTTGAATCCCAAGCAAACAGAGGTGCCTCCCTCCAACCCAGAATTACATGCCTATGTTTCTTTGAGGAGTGGGGCACACTGAATTTTTATCTGAAATAATTATAATATAATGCAGTGTAAAATAGAACATCTTTAATAGTAAAAACATTCAAAGGCAATTGTAAAACTGTACATTTATACTTAGTGCTTGAAGAGTGCTTTGTTTCCAGAGCATTTTACAAAGATTGTCACAGCACCCCATGCAGTAGGCAGGTAATTGTTTGTGTTATACATGGAAAGGGGAGGGACAGAGAGGTTACATAATTTGTCAAAGGCCACATAGTGAGTTGTTAGCAGATTGGAATTTTAATTTATGTGTTGTTGGCACCAATCCTGGTGTGCAAGTTTCTAAACTATGCTATTTTAATACATTGTTTTTAGGCAGCAGAAAGGTGACTCAATTAACATACATGGCCAAATTTTGAAAGGGGCTCACTCTAGCTTACAGTTTTGCACGTACAATCTTGCTGGCACAAGTGGTAGTATTTAGCTACCTACTTGCCTAATTACCCTTGCAAATCAGATTTAAATCTAAATGCCGTAATTAACACTACATAATTTAAAACATTTCTAATTTTACATCTGCTGTCTATCATTTCTAAGATTATGTAAAATAAATTAGTTTTAACTTTAAAATCTTTTCTTCAGAAAAATGTTGCCGACCACTTCAGTTAGTTCCCAAAACCAGGGCAATGGTGCGTTAAACTCCAGGGATGCAGCGCGACATACAGCGGGTGCAAAACGCTACAAATACCTGAGGAGGCTCCTTCACTTCCGGCAGATGGACTTTGAGTTTGCTGTTTGGCAGATGCTCTACCTGTTCACTTCACCACAGAGAGTTTATAGAAACTTTCATTACCGGAAACAAACAAAGGACCAGTGGGCAAGAGATGATCCTGCTTTCTTGGTATTGCTGAGTATCTGGCTGTGTGGTGAGTATCTATTTCCATGAACAGCAAAAATGAGGTGGGAAAAAGGAAGAATTGGGCATTAGCCTAAGATTAGGGAGGCCTGGGTTCAAGTCCTTGCTCTGCCACAGACCTTGTGTAACCTTGGTCAACTCACTTAGTCTCGCAATCCTCACTTCCTCATCTGTAAAATTGTGTAAATAGTAGTTCCCACCCTTACATGGGTGTTGTGAGGATAAACACATTAATTGTGACATGCGCAGATACTGTAGTGGTGGTGGCGGCCATATAAGTACCTAAGCTAGATAAGATCTTTCTCTTTTCAATAAAGTTGCAGGAATGCATCTTCACAGGGGTTTTTTTCAGCACCCTGGGTTTTTGACTGTAGAGGCCCTTAATCAGAATGGAAAAGAAGCTGATGAGCTATCTACACTCAAAGGTTACAGTAACCATTTAGAAATTAGAGAACCATGGTAAACCGCAGGGTCTAGCTGTATCTAGAATCCTCTAAAGACTCTTCTTTATGTTTGTTGTAATCAAGTCTTGTTTCTGTTCTGTGTTTCAAACTGTGTCGGTTTCAATCATTGTGTCATAGCAAAGACAACCAGAGGAATGAATGACTATTCTTTTTTAAAAAAAAATAGTTGAACATTTGGATGATTAGAAACTGGGATGTATTATTATGTGTATTACCTTATCACATAAGCAGCCAAATTGTAGACTAGGACCATTGTGCTAGTCACTGTGCAAACACAGAAAAAAAAAGACAGTCCCTAATGTTGAACCCATTACAGGCAAAGTACCCTTTACACAGTGCTCTGTCCTTGCTCCCCTTCTCATCTCCATCTATACCTTATCTCTGGGTCATCTTATCTACAAACACAAATATGCTGATGGCTCACAGATCTACCATTCTGTCCAAACTAAAATCTTGAACTGTCTCTCTGACTCCCTCATGGATGTCTAGCTGCCAGCTCAAGCCAAGCATAGCTAAAACAGAGCTCCTATTCTGCAAACCCCCTCCCACCCCCCATACCTTCCTGCTACCTCCTTTCTTGGTCACTGTGGACAAACCCCACCATCCTGCCTGTCACTCAGACCTGTAACCCAGACATTATCTTGACTCAGACATCTCGCTAGGTCATTACATCCAGGCTGTACCTAAGGATAGGCCTTTCTTATCCATCCATACAGCTAAAACTCTTGTCCAAGGTATCCTCATCTCATGTTTCAATTACTGTAACATCCTTCTCTCTGGCCTTGACAAATGAATCTTGCCCCACTCCTATCCATTCACAATGCTGCTGCGAGGATCATTTTCCTAGCCTGCGCTTTGACCACATCACCCCTCTCTTTGAATCCCTCCACTGGCTGCCTCTTCACTATCACATCAAACATAAGCTGCTTGTGTTCACTTTTGAGGCCCTTCATGATCAGCCCCCAGTCTTACTGATCATCTCTTATTCGCTATCAACCTGTGGATGCTCACTTCCTTTCCTGCACTGCCAGCCTCCATTGCCCACTACACCACTGTTAAATTTTCAGACAGCGGCTTCATGCTTTCCCCCATGCTGACCCACGCGCTTGGGAGGAGTATTCCGTAAGCATCAGCAAAGGAACGTCATTATCCACCTTCAAAGGCCTTCTCAAAACTCTCCTTTGCTGTGATGCCTATAGTACCCTTGGCAACAATTAGGCTGCTTGTATGCTGAGACCTCTGCCTATCATGCTGTCCAGTATTGTCTCATTGTTTCCTTGGAGACTCCGTCTGTCTTCATCTATTTGTTGTCTCTTGTCTGATACTTAAGATTGTAAGTTCTTTGGGGCAGAGACGCCCTTTTTTTACCGTACCTAGCACAGTGCGGTCGTGGTCCACAACTAGGACTCCTAGGTGCTTTGATAATACAAAGTTATACAGTGAACAAAGCCTCAGCGAGACACTGGACGTCGGCCATCACCAAGCCAAAGAAAATCTTTTGCATGTAAGCTTCAGGTCAAATTGTCTTTTAAAAGGCAACAGTGAAAACGCTACACCCAGTCCATTTTTGACATGGCACAGTACCTGCAGTCACTTCTGAAATTCTAATGTTCTTGCAGTTGGATGGGAAATATTTCCTAGATCCATATGTGTTTCATGGTTGTTTTCCCAAAGCTGCCAAAGGAACTCCATAAGAATGTGTCTTATGTGTACTGCATTTTCATTCAACTAAAATGGACTGGAAATCTGAATGGCAG